GGGGGGGGAACAGCGTGGATTTTATAATCTCGGAAGTCCTCTCGAAAAATTAGTCCTCCCTGGTCTATGGGCGGAGTCAGGCCCACAATAGTGTGTTTTTCACTGGAGTGACTCTCAATTCCAAGAAGATGGTGAACTCAAGGGCACGATAAGGATGAAGCCACAATGGTAGGCTGGTTCAGCTCAAGCGACCAGCGCAGAGTCAGCCCTTAACCGGAAATCCAGGCCAAACATTCCGCCCGTGAAGAAGCGTGAGCCGTCTCCCAGAAGGGCCAAGCGAGGGTACCATCTTGAGCGCCAAAACAGGACAGGTTTATAGCCGATGTTACCCCTCAATCGTAAGACGGTCACGCGATCAGTTCGTATCGGAAGCTCACGTCCCCTCCCCCTAGAGTACCAGCCCAAGTAGCACTGTGACTTAACACCTGGGAAGCAGCGTGTGCCGTCGTCGTGCGGAGCCCGCGAGGACGTAGCTGGGAACGATGGGGGTCTTATTTCGCTTCCGATTGCTGTAAAAGTGTCGATGGCCTTCAACTGCGGATTTTTTTCCAGATATTGCAGTATGATAACTGCTGTTTAACGCCGCAGTGCGCGATCCGAAAGTTATCACAAGAGTGCTTAGTTGTGGGCAAACGTCTGACCACGGACGGGACTCGAACCCGCATCTCATCAGATGCGGGTTCGAAACCCGTCCGTGGTCTGACTTTTGCCAACTCAGCACTCCTATGATAACTTTCAGATTTTCTTTTCTGCTTTACGAGCGCTATAACCATGTTTCCTGAGTTAGCCGCGCGATGAGGCTACTATTCTAAAAGTTGGTAGATCGGAGGGCTGCCTCCCCCCCTCTCCGGGACGGCAAAATTTCGCGATGACCCGGAACATGGTAGGTAGGTTGCGAAAAAGGGTCGTACCCAGATCAGGGCACGCCATCGTTGTGATGATCACCACGGAGGTCGTATTTGACCGCGAGGGAGGGGGGTCGTATTTGGCCGTTGTTGAGAGAGGGACTGCCAAAGATCTATACAACTACTATTTCCGATAGTTGAAAATGATAGTTAAATTCTGACGACCCCTAGAATCAGTTAAATTCTGACGGCCCTCTCCCAGTTAAATTCTGACGGCCCTTCTCCCTTTCTGGTTCTTCCTTACTCCCTTCTTGGTTTTCCCAAATTTGCTTGAAATTCCGACAGCAAAATTTCGGGTAAAAACCAGAAGGATTTTGGAAGAACTGGCAGGAGGTTAGGGAAAATCTGAGAAATTTTCCTGTTTCACATTGGGTATGATACCTTAGGTAAAACAGTGAACCCTCCCCGCTCGCTGAACTGAGCAATTATGGCGTGGAAAATAGAAATGTTGGGAACAAAATGGTTACAGAAGTGGGAAATTTAGGGGAAGTGGTAGTGGTATCTAGTTAGCTTGGATTGGGGGGGAAGGGTCTCTAAAGGACGCGGTAGGGGGTGTATTTCTTAGGAAATGAATCACAACCGCTAGGATCGCTTCGAAATCATCCCCATTACCGGTACTGGATAAAGCCTAGTTCGTTACCGTTCCAGAAGTAAGGCGGTACAAAGTACACCGTGACACCGCCCTGACAGTCAAGCGGACTTAGGCAGAGGAGTCACCATAATCGCTATCGAGTTTTTTGAGTGATGGCTACTGCAGCCTTGCAAAAATCAGTAGCGGGGGAGCAATAATTTACATGCGCACACTTTAGCTACAGTTTTTAGAAACTGTTTCAGCTTTCGAAGTGATTCAGCTGCAAGCTGCGTAAAAACCCCGTCCGAACAAAAACGATTGCAAATGATGTTCCATAGATTCCCCCAGCCCCCTCCCCTCACCAGCAGCGAATTCATTCAAAGTTTCTGTTCAGTTGCATCATAAGATGGCGCAAGAATCCGCCGGCAGGTTAGAAAATTTGATAATTCGCGTAGATAAAGCCAATATAAGGACTTCTTCTAGATGCACTTTTTCCGTCGATTGCAGCTTGCAGGAGCTACTTCTATTTATCTTCAACTGCGCATTCATCCATAAGTCCGAACTCCATTCTTTGCCGCAAATTTATGAAAGCGAAAAGAAAACTGAGTAAAGAGGAGATCTCTAGAGATAATGCCGTCCCGAAGCAGGGCTGGTCTGAATGTACGAGATCCCGAAAATCGCAGGAGTAAAAAATAATAAAACAGATTAAAAATTGAGCAACTCCCCACACGCCGTTTTGTCCTCCCAGACTGTTTGGCGCCAATCAGGGCAACTCCTGGCGTTCGAGAAGGTTTTTGCTGACCGCATCTGCTCAAATTCTCTCCTGCAGTACGATCTTGGCTCACATGCCAAAATTTTGGAGTTGCTCGTTGGTCGCTATGTGGAGAGGAAGAGTCAAGTTTGGTACGATGATTTCCGTTTCAATCATTAATTTTCTCCTTTCCGTCCCCTTCAGCCTACTCGGCGGCCCAACAATTCTACCGTTTCTGAATTCCTGATGAGCGGTCGGGGCGGTCGTATTCAAGAAGGGAGAAAAGAGAGCGAGTCGTAATGAGGAAATTTGTTGCTATCCTGCTCGGGTAATGTTCTAACATAGCCCGTTTCCTTCACTTCCCTCCATTCGTCCGTCATTGAAAGTTTTTTCCCAAACCAGGGAATGCCCGTGCCTTAAGGTTTTCTCGGTGCAGGAGCAAGAGGATGCTTTTTGCCGTCCTCAAGATTGGATTATTTTTGGGTTGGTTGAGAGGGAGGTACACAAACAGAGATCTTGTTGGTTCCCATTCGGACAAATGGTCAACTAAATCCCCAATTAAATGAAATGCTCCCAGAGGACTTTGCATTCAGTCGAACCCGACAATTCAAATCACACTTATCACTAATTCCGGTCAATTACAACAACTGCCAGTTTCTAGGACAACGCCCTTACAGGAGAAAAACGACATCGTACTCCGCTGGCGCTCTTCGACACATTGGAATCCCCACAAAACCACGCAATTTTCTCTTCTGATTATGCCAATGATGGCGTCAGACACCGTCTCAGACAATAGAGACACATGTGTCATCCGAAAAACACAATTATTTCGATTATCGATTCAATTCGGCGGAAGGAATGAGGACAAAAACATAATGTGGGCAAACATCGAAGCCTCCCGACTCCAGTTGATTCAACTGACAGATGAAATCTTTGTTTCACATTCCGACTGTTCGCCTTGTTGGGGGGGAGGTCTAAACTTGAAGCCTGAGCGAACAAGCCACTTGACTGAACTGTTCCCCTTTTGACACGACGTTCGACCAGGGTACAGCATCGCGTTGGGTGAATGGCGGTAGTAATGCGACGCCTCCCCCCCCGATTTTCCCCTTGGATTCGACCACCCCTCACAACGCCAGCATCTTTTCACCAAATTATTTAAGCCCCTTAGCACTTTTACAAGAGTTTCTGGGAGAAATTCCCCATTTTCTCAAAGAAATAAGAAACTGCCGTGACTACCGGGTACAGGGAGAGGGGAAATGGCGCGCACGAATCGGAGAAGTCAGCGATTGGGAAATTTCCTCACATCCCAAAAAAACTTCTCTCACGGTCAATCACCACCTAAAGCGACCATCCCCTCCTGACGGATTGCACAACGATACAGTACCCTGTGCCAGGCAGCCAAAAGGGAGAATGCGCGTGAACAAGGCCTATCGAAGGTCCTATCCAATAAACCGTTTTGCAGAAATAAGATAGTAATTTTGGGCATTTGGGCCTCCCGAGATGAATAAGAAATACATGGCGATGGATAAAGCATAAGGATAAACGCGTAGCCCTCGCTAATCCAATGGGAGTAGATAGAAAATAATTGCACTCTTCTCATCTGAACGATTCTCCTTCGGTAAAGAGGATGGACTCGCCCCGAGAAGGGCAGAATGGTTTATTGTTTTTTCCGCCCCATAAGATACGCGTGGAACTTTATGTACTATAGGGAGACTTAGATACCTGAGAAAGGTATACCATTGGTGCGAGATCAAGTGTTATTTCTGCTATGGAGAAGAACTATCCAGGCTACCACAAAGGCGACCACTACTAGCAGGAACACCAGTGAAAAGCCGCAATGCGCCACGAATAGGGATTCAGACCATAGACAGTGTATGAGAGTTTCTATTAGACAGACCTTGTGATTGTCTGCCGGAAGATAGTTCAAACAACTGGTGCTCTCACTCAACTTGGTGTCCCCTCGTTCTCAGATAGTTAACAAGAATGACGCGCTAACGAGGAAGTAACGGAATACTTGGACCGCTTGATCCTCTTTTCAAGTCTTCAGAACTAATCTTGACATGCTCGAGTCCT